GGGAAAGAGAGGGAGAGAGAGGAAGAGAAAGAGAGGAAGGAAGGAAGGGAAGGAGGGAGGGAGGGAGGAAGGAAGGAAGGAGCCAGATAAAGCAAATACGTGATAAAACAGGCAACTTTACAACAGACACAATAGAAATACAAAACATCATTATATACTATAATCGACTATATGCCAACAAACAAGAGATCATGGAGGATATAAGCAAATTCTTGGATGCATATAATTTACCAAGATTGAATCAGGAGGACATTGAAAAACTGAATAGACCCATAAAAAGCCATAAGCTTGAATCAGTGGTGGAAAACAGTATAAGCAAAATGTTGCTACTTGTGTAGCTTTCTTTCCATTGTGTTCCTTTCTTCATTAAATGATAGAAAAAATTTTTATTTTTTGCATAGCATATTGATAAAGTATTCAAGCATAAGGAACTGCAGCAACAGCTTGTGGATGCCAAGCTCCAGCAAACAACACAGCTGATGAAAGAAGCTGATGAAAAACATGAGAGAGAGAGGGTGTTTGTAAGTTCTTTCTTTTTTTCACCTTTTTTTTTTTTTTAAATTTCTACCACAGGATATGTGCACTTGCTGGAGAGAACCAGAGTATGTCAGAAAGAGAGAAAGTGAGAAATCATACCCCAAAGAGTATGGCTGTGATATAGTCCCTCCTCTTCCATAGTCTTCTTGGGATTTTGGCATGTATGCACACATGCCTGGCATACTTTTCAAGTCCTTGAATCTGGTACTCAAATCATGGAGTCAGTTTTATGGGATCGGACACCTAACCACCATATTACTAGCTGACCTAGTTCTGTTTTTTTTCTCTTTGTTTGTTTGTTTTTAAGATACTGCTAGAATTATAACCCGTTATTTAAAGTAACTTATACTTTTAATATAGTGGCAGTGAATACAACTTTTTTTTATTCTCTAGGTTGACAGTGTATGTTTTGGGTCATTGGAAAAGTCATGAAGCATTTTTCCCTAGTAAAACAGAAGATAAGTCATGATTTTTCCAGCAACCAAATATATGTGCATGTGTTGAAATACATTCAGATTTTTGTTTCTGTTAAATGTTTATGTAGAAATAAACTGTAGAAAAAAATGTATTGTAGATATTATACCAGTTAGTAGTTTTATTTTTTCATAATTATAGTACTATCTTTCTTCTTACATCATGGTCACGAGATTCAAGAATTGACACAGTGTTTTGCAAATTTAGCCTTGAGAACTAGGGACAATTATATTTCATACCAACTTTGATTAATCATGGGTCTTACATATGGTACTACATTTTTTTAAACAGGTATTTTGAAAGTAAGTAAACTACTTATTTACCTAGTCTGGTATAAACTAATGATAAAATGTAACAAAATGTTTCTTAATCACTCAGCATTTTTGCCAGACTGTATTATTTGTTTATTTTGCCTACTGATAATTACATACAAGCTCAGCCATGTAGCACAAACAGTAGGGCAGCAATAAGTGATTGTGGAATCTAATGGGAGACCTGAGTTTGGAGCCTAGGCTAACCTGAATATACTGTGTGTACTGTCCTATGTCCATTATAGTGCCATTTGAAATCTGGGAGAAAGATCATGGCATGAGAGACTGTTAAGGGTTTCTGTCTTTTGCATGTGCATTCTCTTTCTCTCATGAAAAGAAATAAGCTTTAAAAAATAGTTGTAAACAGTGAAATTTCATTGAGTATATTTGTTGTATGCAAATTAGATCTAATGTACTATAAATGATTGAATAAATGGAAGTTATATTAATAATACAGACTATTTCATCTAGTATTTCATTCGAGTAGTATAGACCCTGAGTTCAGAATAGTCTGAATACTCAATTTCTGAGTTTTCCTCATGATGTTGGTATCTTATAAGTGTCTTACTAGGGTTTAGAGAAATATACTTTGACAAAGCATGGACCTTAAGTATAAGCTGACAGTGTTATTAGGAAAAAACTGGAACAACAGTTGGCATTTTCTACTTGGAATATGAATGACCTGAATGTGTATATGTGTGTGTGTGTACGATGTGGAAAACAGTATAAGCAGAATGTTGTTGCGTAAGTGTACTTTCTGGTGACAAGGATTTTTTAAGACTGACTTACAGCATATGACATTTTACTTCAGAAATTGAGGGATCTGAATTTCACCATAGCTTACTATGCAAACTTTATTATATATTTTTCTGAAAAACCCAGATATTTTAGCCCATTGTCTTTTCTTAGCCTCTTCTCCCTTTTTTTTTTTTTTAAGAGAGATTTTTGCTATAGTTGTGTGTGTACTCTCCAGACAGACAGAAAAAGTGAGAAATTACTCCCTACGGGGGATGACCACACTGCAGTCCTTCTCCATTCTTCTCTTAGGATCCTGAACACACACACACACACACACACACACACACACACACACACTGTGAGTTTTAAGTCACTGAGTCCAGACTTAAACTGTGGTCAACTACATGGGAGTCCAGCAACGTAACCATTAAGCCGTAACCATTAAGCCATCTGCTGGTCCCATCTCTCCTGTAGATTTTAAAAAGTGATCAGAAACTGTGTCTCTGTTTTTCATTGCTTTGCTACATATTCTTTTAAATCTTTCTATTCTTGATTCTTAGAATAGAAGTGCTTTAATTATTTTGTATTTTTTAATGGCCAGTTTCTGTTTTTCAAGATATTTTTTTCATGATAGCACACATGCCAGTGAAAAGCAGCTGCGATCTCCACAGTATCTGGTGATACCACAGCTTCTTCTGGTGATACCACCCTTCTTCCTACCATCCATTTTTGAGAAGTAGAGAGCATGAATCTCTGTAGGATCTGATGGTACCACAGCTCCCTTCTTACAATCCATTTTTATCTCTGGCATTTGTGCAGATCCCAGGAGTATTTTCAGGCTGACCAGGATAGGGTCATAATGTGGATACAGCATATTTTGAGCAGTGCATTACTGCTTTTCTTTTTTATTAAGAGAGGTATTTGCTTCAGATAATGTGCACTTGCTAAAGAGACAGAAGACAAAGTGAGAAATCATCTCCTGGGGAAATGACCACAGCATAATCCTTTCTCCGCTGTTCTCTCAGGAATTTGGGAATACCGGCACATGTGTCCACATGTGAGTTTTAATCTGCTGTGTCTGGGACTCAAACCACTATTGACTATGTGGGAGTTCAGTGATGTAAACATTACACCATCTGCTGGTCCCTAGATCTTTTTTTAAGGGATGACATTATTCCTGTCTGTTTATCCCACTTTTTCCTAAGCATTTTAGAAGTGATAGATAGATAATTTTTCCAAATAAAAGAACTGGGACCAAATTATAGAGCTTATTTTCCTGGGATATACTCTAGAGAATAAACTTATCACAGGTAACTTACAAATGAATGATTTTCAGAACTTGCTAAGTGATGTACCTCTGTAGGACTAGCTGTTCTCTCAGGAATTTGGGAATACCGGCACATGTGTCCACATGTGAGTTTTAATCTGCTGTGTCTGGGACTCAAACCACTATTGACTATGTGGGAGTTCAGTGATGTAAACATTACAGACTCTACTGGTCCCCATAGAAGGGCTCTCTAAATGACCAGATAATGACAAAATTCACCATGTTTTCTAATTATAAATGTAGACTTCTAGTTACTATTATCTAAATTCTATAAGAATTCAAGCCTGACTTTTGTAAATCTCAGGCCTTTAGAGCGCTTTTTCTTTTAAGGGGTTAAAATTACTTCTATATCTTACATGTTAATAAGTGAAACAAATTAAGTATTTAGGTAATTGACAATTAAAGTAAGAGGATATTTCTTCTGTTGACCTGTGAGTCTTGCTTAAATATTGAGTAGAAGGCTACCCTAATTTGTCACTTATATTTTAGCTATAATTTCTATTAGTATTTTGCCAGACTATTTCTTTTTTCTAGTTATTAAAAGAAGCAACAGAATCAAGACACAAGTATGAAGAAATGAAACAAGAGGAAGTACAACTAAAACAGCAGGTAATAAAGTACAGTGTCACTATATTGGTCATTGTCATCTTGAAATCTCCTTCAACTTAGGGTGACTAACTTATGCTGATTTATTTACTCTTGTTTTTTCTTGAATTTAACACACTAAGTTCTAAACCCCTTAGTTCCAGGTAAGTTTGGATTACAGCTTAGCATTTATTCAGTGATTCCATCCCACTATCTTAGATATTTTCTTAATTATCTTGAGAATTTTGTCTTAAGAACATCTGCATTTAAATAAATAACTAAATAAATAAAGCCAAAACTGCATGCTCAGACAGTCCTACTTCCAAGTAAGATTGTGTATATGTGCATACTTTTTTTAAAAAAAGTTATCTTCCATTTTTCAGATCCCTAAAGTATCCTATTCTGTTGGGTCATCTGAAAAGCTATGACATTTTTGTATAGAACAACATAGAAAAATACATTATGTTTTTTCTGACAGTAGTTGTTGTATGGTTGCTTTGATGATATGCTGGAAGCAGATACTATATCCTCACTGAAAGGAAAGGTACAGAAAGGTTGTAGTACTTATCTCTGAAAAATTAAACAACCTGGTCTTTGTAGGTAGAAGCAAATAGGTGTTTGTGTATGTAATTCACCCTTACTGAAGTTACAGTATTGAAAAGAATTTTTCTGTTATGTTTGTTTTAGTTTTTTGCCATAAAGCCAATATATTCACCAGTGAGAGACAGACAGGAAGAGGGAGAAAGAAAGTGAGAAGTCAACCCTGTGGGGATGGCCAACTGCAATTCCTTCTCCATTTTTCTCTTAAGATAATAGGCATGCATGCACATGCACACAGTATGTTTCTAAGGCCACCGGGCCTGATCTGAGACCTGAACCATGGATGGTCATATAGGAATCCAGGGCCTTATTAAACATGCCACTTGTTGGGTAAAATCTGAAACCTTTTTGTATAGAAAATGCAATGTAGAGACTTTTACTCAATGCTGATGTACATTAACATGTATTATCTTCATGAGCACCACTTTTGAGTGCTGTTTATCTTCGAGATATTTTATAAATATATAATGATATTATATCAAGTTATACAATTATATTGAAAATATGGGAGAGGTGAGGGATCAGCAGTTGACGTAATGGCTATGTCACTGGACTCCCATGTAGTCGACCGCAGTTCGAGTCCTGGACCCAGCGGCTTAAACTCATGCCGGGCGCGTGTGCATGCGTGGACCCTGAGAGGAGAATGGAGGAGAAGGGATTATGGCGTGACCATCCCCCCTGGGGAGTGATTTATCTTTCTGTCTCTCTCTGTCTCTCTGGTGAGCGCACATGCCCTATAGTGAAAACCTCTCTAAAAAAAAAAAATGGAGAGGTCAAATGTTAGGTATCTTATATTTTTTATACATTTAATCACTGTATATCATTACAGCATGCAAATTGAATTTTCCCAGTTAAATATATTATCATATACTTTATACACATTAACAAATAATTTTCTTTTTAGTATCCCTTAAATTTTTGCATATTTTTTTCTCTTTGATTTCCTGCCTCCTGTCCTCACACATTTCCCACCTCTTATCCTCATACATTTCCCATCCCTGTCCTGCTCTGTCCCTAGTATCCACTTTGTTTTCATGCTTTTACATCTTAAGTATTTGTTTCTGCCATACAGTGAAGACATTCTGTGTATATTGAATCGGAACATACAGTGCCTCTGTTTCATAATCTGGTTTCATTTAACAACTAAACCTTGCATAGTCATGTACTTTCAATGTCTCATTTTTTTTATAATGGCTCAGGACTATTTCATAGTGCATATGTGCCACACATTTTCAATCTGTTCATCTGTTTACAGACATTTGGGTTGATTCCATGTCTTACCAGTTGTGAATATTGCCAAAATAAACATGGATATGCAAGTACTTCTCTTATGAATGTATTTCTGTTCCTGGGTTTATACCTAGGAGTGGAATTGCTGGATCATATGGTATATTTATTTGTAGAAAAGGCTGTACTTATTTATACTTCCAATAACAGTATAGGAGAATTTCCTTTTCACAACAGCCTCATCAGCACTTAAAATTTTTTATATTTTTAATTTTGCCCATTCTGACAGGATTTGGGAGATATCGTATTGTGGTTTTGATTTGCATCTTCCTTATGATAAGTGAGGTTGAAAATATTATCATAGCTTTTTATTTGTTGGTATAGCTTTGTTAAGAGTTATCTTTTCAGCTCATTTACCCATCTCTTAATTGGGCTGACTTTTTTTTTTTTTTTCAGGTGAGCTGCTTTCTTTCTTGAATATTCTGGTTATAAGATCCTTATCTATATTCTCCCATTCTGAAGGTTACCAATTCACTCTAATTATTGTCTCTATTGTGCAAAAGCTTATTAACCTGATATGGCGCCACTTGTCTATTTTAGGGTTTACTACCTGTACTGTAAACATCTTCATTAAAATTTTTGCATACTTCAGTATGTCCAGTGTTTCCCCCTGAGTTATTGTCAGTAGTTTTATAATTTAAGGTCTGATATTTAGATCTTTGATCTATTTTAAATTGCCTTTTGGTGAAGAGTCCAGTTTAATTTTTCTGCACATGCATATAATTTTCCAGCACCATTTGCTAAAGAAACTTTCTTTTCCCCACTGGATTGATGGATGCCCTTTGTCAGAAATCAGTTGGTTATATGTTTTGGGGTTTATTTCTGGTGTTTCTATTCTGTCCTCTTGGTTCACTTGCCTGTTTTTTGTGCCAATAACCATGCTATTTGATTATAACAGCTTTGTAACATTTTGGAGTCAGAGGGTAAGATGCTCATACATTCTTGTTGCAGAAAGTTGCTTTGGAATATTGAGTCTTTTATTATCCTAGATAAATTCAATTACTGCTTTCTCTAAATCTGTGAAGTATATCTTTGGTTATTTGATTGGGATTGCATTAGATTTCTAGATAAATTTGAATCTATTTGACATATTGATTATATTATTTTTTCCAGTTCAGGAACATAGGAGGTCTTTGCACTTTTCTGTGGTATTTTTTCTTTCTTTCTTTAGTTTTTCATACTTTTCTATATAGAGATCTTGGACTTCCTAGGTTTCCTTTATTCTTAGGTTTCTTGTATTATTTCTGGCTGTTATAAATTGGATTGCTTTCTTTAAATTTTTCTCCATCTGCTTCTTGTTTATGTATAGAAATGCTGTAGCTTTCTATTTATCAACTTGGTATCCCGCCATTTTATTGTATTCCCTTATCATTTCCAGCCGGTTTTGTTTGTGAATTTTTTGCATTACTTATGTATATACTCATGTGATCTGCAAATAGAGGTAATTTCACTCCTTTCTTGATTTGAATGACTTTTATTTTAGTCTGTTGTCTGATTGCATTGGCTAGGACTTGCAGTACTGTATTGAAAACGAAAGGAGAAAGTGGGCTAGTTTTTAGTGGAAAAGCCTTGAGCTTTTCACCCGGTCAGTATGATGTAGCTATAGATATTTCATATATTGCTTTTATTTTCTTGAGAATTGTTCCTGCTATGCTAATTTTGATGTGTTGTTGGATACAATTTCCTAGGATCTTTTTTAGAATTTTTATATCAATGTTCATCAGAGTTGTTGTCTGTAGTTTTCTTTCTATTGTTATGTCCTTGGAGGCTTCACAAAATGCATTTGAAAAAGTTTCTTCCTTTTGAATTTTTAGAAATATTAATAGTATGAGTAGAATGGGGGATTAGCTCTTAAAAAGTTTTTATATTGTAGGGACCAGCAGTTAGCGTAATGGCTATGTCTCTGGACTCCCATGTTGTCATCTGCAGTTTGTGTTCTAGACCCAGTGGCTTGAATTCATGCCAGGCACGTGTGCATGTGTGCCCAAAAATCCCGAGAGGAGAATGGAGAAGGGATTATGGCATGGCCATCCCCCTCGGGAGTGGTTTCTAACTTTCAGTCTCTCTGTCTCTCCCTGAGCGCATGCGCCCTATAGCAAAAACCTCTTCTCCCCCAAAAAAAAAAAAAAAAAAAAAAAAATTTATGTTGTAGAATGCAAAGCCTAGGCTTTACTTTCTTGGAATGTTATATATTACTGATTCATATGGATCCTATTCATGTTTTCTATTTCTTCCTGATTCTATCTTGGTAGATGATACATGACCAGAAATTTGTTCTTCTCAACCAAGATTTTTATATATGGTGTTTAGGAACTCATAGCATTTTCTAATGATCTTTTGTATATCTATTGTATACATTGTAATATTAACTGCTTCATGGGGAATTTGATTTATCTGTTTTTTTTTTCCCGCTCCTAAATAACTCTAATGATGTATCTATTTGTATTATTATCAAAGAACTAGTCTTTGTTTTCACTTATTTTCTGTAGAATTCATTTATTTTCTATTTTATTTATTTCTGCTTGGATCTATTTTATAAGAATTATTTATTTGTGTAATTTTTTTTTTGAGAGGTTTTTGCTATAGGGTGCATGAGCTCACCAGACAGAGATAGAAAGTGAGAAATCACCCCCCACGGGGGATGGCCACGTCGCAATCCCTTCTCCTGCATTCTCTTCTCGGGATCTTGGGCACACATGCGCATGTGCCCAGCGTGAGTTTTAAGCCACCAGTTCCGGGACGTGAACCATGGTCGACTACATGCGAGTCCAGTGACATAGCCATTATGCTAACTGCTGGTTCCGTTAATTGTGTAATTATTTTTTATAAATTAATTTTATTTCTTTACATTTAATTACTATTTTAACAGTGTAGAACATTTCTTTTTCAGGACAAATACTATGCATGTCAGTCAAGCCAGAGATATTATTCTATAACTTAGTAAATTCCTTATTTTTTGTCACTTAAGCATACTTTTATTTCTTCTTCCCCTTTCCCTCCTCTCTCAATTGTGTAATTATTTTTTATAAATTAATTTTATTTCTTTACATTTAATTACTATTTTAACAGTGTAGAACATTTCTTTTTCAGGACAAATACTATGCATGTCAGTCAAGCCAGAGATATTATTCTATAAC